CCTAAATTTTCCTTGAAAAGGCAAAATAATGAAATAACCTGAATTAGGATCATGTCAAGCAATGTATTCTGGATTTTAATTTACATGAACATAATTACTGATTACTCATCAGCCTTTGGAACAGATATATTTCTACTACTAAATATTTATATAATATCCTCTTTCCTCCTTGCAGATCATTTATTTCTGTTTTATTTATTTCACAAGATTTAATGCTGTACCAAAAATGATTCTGGAGGAGAGATGTAGTAACCATCTCTTCCAAGATCAAAGCTATACCTATGTATAAGGTATTGTTGAATTAACTTCACCCATTTTGTTGATTGTCAATTCCCAGCTATAGTAGATAAGAAACAGACCAGATGAGCAACTTCTAATTTAGTGTAAAGCTACATTAATTTGCAAATCCGAAAGCATAGATGTCCCACTGTTTCCTTACAGCCTGACAAGCTAGGGAGGATCCCTTCTAAAGCCTCTTTCTCTGCCTCCTATGCAGCTGCAGGCTATACATTCTCTGATTGTTCCCTAGGTAGCTTCTCTCCCCCCTCTCTCGGGATCCTTCTTGCATAATATTATACTAATATAACATACATGGTATTCCAAATTAGCATCATCCCTTCCTGCTAATTGCTCTGGCCCTTGAACTATGATCACAATTGTGCCCATAATCTCAGTTGTTGAGTGAGGCAGTCATTAAGCAAGACACCCACATGACTACTTCACTCAACTATAACAATCCCAATATTCCAGTTGTGGACATTAAGTGATCAGGAAGCTTTATTATGTTTTAATTAGATATTTATTCTGCCTTTGTTACTTAATAACTAACTCAAGGCAGCAAGCATACCTTCCCCCTTCTATTTTCCCCACAACAACAACCCTATGAGATGGGTTGAGAGAATGACTGGCTCAAAGTCACTCAGCTGGTTTTCATGCCTAAGGTGGGGTCCTCATTTTTAAACCAGCACCTTAACCACTACATCAAACTGGATCTCTGATTATTAAGCAGAGCACAGGGGTGCCTCAAGGGGAGTGGGAGGCCCTGCATGAGGTATATGTAGAGTTGCTGAGTATGGTGCATAGCTGCAGCCACCCTAGCCTGACCTTGTGGCATGTCACTCTGACCTGGGGCCTTCAGCAGTCACAGCCACCTGCCACAACCCTAGGCTTCAATTTCACCTCTGCCAGTGAGGAATGCCACCTAAGTCCCCACACCTGTCTATCTAGCACCCTCCCCCCAAATTTAGGGCACCCTGCATAGTGGCACCTGATAACAGCACCAAGGGACTTGCCACTGCCCCAGGCCTTGACTTTATTGGTGTGGGGGGGAAGTTGACAGGTGCAAAGAATCAAGACCATTCATAGGATTGCAGCATAGAAGATTTATTCAAGCCTTTGCACAAGAATCTGGTCAACTAAAGTGCAATACTAAATTGGCACCAGATCAGAGTCAACAGAATTCAGGAGGGATTGGACTTGGAGCACTTGTGGGAACACAACAACTCTAAGCTGATGATGCATTTAATTCCGCTCCCCAGCTATCCCTGCTCTTTTCGTACAAAGTTGCAGCACCCTTGTAGTTGTAAGGGCGGGTGCACTGCCAAGCACTCACATTTTTTATCATGTGACTGTGTTTGTGCTGCTGTAACTTCAGGCATGGGTCGAAACTTCCTTTATTTAGCACTGTTATAATTACTGTCACTGAATAAATGGTCTGAGGATTACCTGATGCCAGAAACTTAATTTGCTCTTGTGATAGAAAATTCCGTAATTTACTTGTATACGTACTTTCTTTGATCTGTTTTAAATGTTTCATCAGTTAATTATATTATTTTTGTACTATACATAGAAATAAAGATTTCTTTTTCTACTTGTTTAGGGTCATGTATAATAATATAATACATCTACTCATGCTTTTCATTCCAATTTCCTTTGCATATTTGGTTATTTCACAGGTGATTCTCCTGTACATGACACCCAGTGCTTTATGTAATGTGCAGGTAGTTGATACTCCCTTCTTCAAGTCATTCTCTCTCTCTCTCTCTCTCTCTCTCTCTCTCTCTCTCTCTCTCTCTCTCTCTCTCTCTCCCATCCTCCTTCCCTCTCTCTCCCCCACTTTCCCTCACTCTGTTCTGGAGATCAGTTCTTGGGGTGTGTGTGAGGGTAAGGTTTGTTTGTAGATAAGTATCATATCTTGTCATGATCCATCACTGATTCATTTATTCTTCAGCATTAAAGAGCCAGAATGGAAATGAATTAAACTAACACAAAGGTTAATATAAAATGATTGACTCTTTCATGTGGCATTTTCAAGCCTATTTTTTGCAATGGCTTTATATAAGCAGACATAATTGTCTGCACATGTTCAGTTGCATTTGCTTCAGATTGCTTTGCTGTTCCGCCTGGTGACATCAGACATGGTGCTAATAGGATACAAGTACTGTATTATTCAGATGCAGCTGGTTTGGATTGAAAAATAATTCAAATAACACAACAGTTCAATCTGTTGACTGCTCTTTCTGCTCTTCCATTTTACCAATCTGTGTTTTCCCCAATTCTTAATGAGGAGCCAATCCATCCATTCATCCATCCATCCATCCATCCATCCATCCATCCATCCATCCATCCATCCCTTCTGTTTTTTTGGAATACTGATATAAATATTGATGAAATATTGCAATATATAACCATTAAAGGACATTCACTACAGCAGAGTATGTTGGGGTGATAGGGATCAAAGTGAAATGCCCATGAAGACATATTCTCACCAATACAAAAGAATGCCCCTATTTGGGGCTGGTGAGCATTTTTTAAATTCCGAGAACTTTGAAAATATTCTAAGAAAAGGGCTGCCATGAGATTTGCATAGTATAAAATGGCTGCCATAATAGACATAACTAATTCCAAAATACCATTTATCAGAAGACATACTGGTGAGAGCTCCCCATCATCTTCCCTAACTTGCTCATCTAGCCAGCCTTTCTCAAGATACATTGCAGTTTACAGCATCTGTATTTTGCTGGGCAGATGAGCATTTTTTTTTAAAGTATAGGGTTGCAATCACTTTTTCTATTCTAAAAATGCCTATTGGGCCTGCATGGGGCCCATAGCATTTCTCAAAATAAAGATGATGCTGAGGGCAGGCTGTTTGTTCTGCAGCACACTGTCTTCTCATTTTTTAATTAAGAAATTGAAATCTCTTCCTCCCCACCTTACCTCTTCCCACTAGACCACCTGAAGTCCTTTTACGCCATCCATCTAACTTTGGTATCAGAATAAGGCTAGGAGAAAAGTGCCTGCAGGGACAGAGGTATAGGCTGAGTTGACAGATTGAAGGCTATGTCAAGCATGTTTACATGTCTGCCTCACTCACATAAAGTGGGAGGGAAAATCTAATTTTAACATTATAAAAGCCTTGGTTGAAGGGAGCATCTTCCTTACTTGTAGGTATTTTTTTCAGGCTTAATCTTATCTGCCAAAATAAGCCAATCTGGAATGAAAGTGCTTGGCAAGAAACAAGGTGGAAAGGGGGTCTCATTAAATATCCCTCCTTCCACTTTATATGTGAATAATGTTGTGTGGGCAGCCTATGCGACTGTCCTGTTTCTGTAAAATGAGTCTTCAGTGTGTACAATAGCTCTGAATCAACTATGTTACCTTCAGCAATACCCCACCACCAAAGCAAAACCAAACATTCTCATGACTGAACAGTTGATCGGAAATCTGTACAGGTGGACCTCTAAACCTGAGTATTTAAATATCTGGATTTTTCTGCCTACAATTCTGTATAGCTCAAAACAAACAAAGAACATAATGAAAGATATACAGTCTTGGCAAGCAGTTGTCATGAATTGCCTCACATAATATCTTACCCTTGATGCTTTTGTTTGAAATTGATACAAACTCATAGAGAATGCCCACCCTCAGTGATGGTATGCCGTATAGTCCCATTGACAAAAGATTTGTTTAGTTCAGCAAAGCTTTGAGCATTAAAGGGAACAAAATTCCTGAATTTTCTGGAATAGATGAGTAAGAAACCTGTAAACCTCCCTCCACAAAAAAACCTGGCATTTGCATTGTCCAAGGCATGTATGAAAACAAAGAAGCAAAACACATTTTATCCTTCTACTAGTTTTAGGTCACCCCTTGAGTAGAGCTCTCTTTTTGACCTTTAAAAGTGGCAGAAAGAAGTCCCAACATTGTTTGTGGCAGCCTCCTTTTCCAGGCTGCCTTCTTGTCCCAGTTTTCTGTCATCACTATTGAGATGGTAGATGATTGATCTGAGAAATGAAGTTGGATTGCTGTCCCAAATCTACATTCCGTTCTCCTTGTGACTGTCTGATCAATTTCACTCCGTAAGACACAGCTTGTCGCTATGAATTTTCATGCTAGTCACAAGCAGACAGCGCACCTCAGAACAAGTAGAAGATGTCTCCATTCCACTCCAGCTTTCTTTTTCTTTCTTTAGTTGTTGCATTATAACAATAATTATTGTTATAATTATCAGCCTGCTTATTAATCGGGTAGTCATCTGTTTTGTTCTTTGACAGTGATTGGAGTGGGAGAGAGAACTATTCTATTTTTTGATGGCATGTTCAGCTGAATTGGGCCTCAGCCTTTGGCCATCTTTTTGGAGATGTCTGCGTCCTGCTTTGTGGTGATATACCCTATTGCCACTGCAATAGGTGTCACCTGTTTAGCAGCCCCTCTCAGCAGAACGCAAGTGGCCGCAGGTGCCATGTGAATGCTGATTCTGTCTGACAGCTGTAGACGCCAGCTGCCTGTACAAGGCCTGCGCACTTGCCACTTTTTTGCAGCTAGAATTCTGCCATTGGCAGGACCGATACAAAAGCAATAAACTAGGTGACCGTAAAGCTAAGATAAGTCCTTCTAAGTGGCATTTTGAGCCCTATGGCTTTGAAATAATTGGGAGCAAGAGAACAAAAAGAAAAAGGAGGAGTAGAAAAAGAAACAGAGAAAAGGAAGCCTATTTTTCTTACACTGATGCCCTGCGGACTATACATCTGACTTGCTGTGAGCCCGTCACTGTATCCTCCTGTCTGGCTGATAACATGGCGAAGGGTATCCACCTAAACAGACCAACAACAAAGAAAGAATTAGGAACATGTTTATTAGAAAAGAAGGATTTCTTTGGAAGTCATTGTAATATGAGTTCACAGATTTCCCTATGATCACTTTAAAGAGTAAAAAGTGAAGCTGCCTCCCATCCATATCCCCATCTACTGTGTACAGACAACACAATCTATTATGCTGGATTTTAAAATGACCAAGAAGAAAATATATTTGGAAATTTCTTTGGCAGCCTTACCAATTATGCAGAAAGAAGAAACTTTTTCCTAATCTGTTAAGTCTATTATTTACTCATCAATTACATAACCCAGGATTTCTCAATGCCACCTGCAACTGAAGGTATAAGTGACCCTATGTGAGTTCCCATGGATCTCAGCCTCATCCATTTCTCTTATTTGTTACTGCTGTAGGCACTCTGCACTTTCAGTCTAACAGTACAATCTGCACTGATTTTAGCAGCACTGTCAAAAGATGGACATTTTTGGATAGTTGGCAATATTATTAAGAACCCCAGTGAGATGTGGTAGGGAATCCCAAATGAGATGAGGCACAGGCAGAAGATTCCAGAAAAAAATATGAATACTCAAGAGGCTATAATGGCAATACCTGTTCTGTTTTAACTACTGCCTCAATAGTAAACTGTTTGTTTCTGACTTGATTTTTTTACCCTCTTGCTTATCAAACTGGTTTCTGAGAAAGGATGGCAGGATTTGGTATGATATTGAAATAGGACTAAGGCCCTTCAGTAATGTACCAGCATTCTCTTATTATTAAACTAGGCAGAAGATAAAAATATGGAAGACTGAATAATAAATTCAGTGTATAAATATATGAGCCCTTCTCCCAGAAAACTCACTAAGCAAATTAGCACTCTTTTTCATTCAAAATTTTGATTTTCCTCCTATGAAGTCAGAGCCAAATGCATTCAGAAAATGTACACACATTCCTCATTTTTTCCCTGCTGTTTTTTTCCTTTTGTTTCATTTTTATGGATTTGATGGTTGTTGAGTTTAATTCCTCTCTTAGGACACTAATGGGGGAAGTCAATAGGATCCAAGCCCTTCATTCTGACCCTGATGCATTCACTGGCAGTAAATCCGAAGGATCCCTACCTGTGACTGCACGTTGGCTCCAACCTGGGCCCCTTGGTAAGAATCCCCATTGAGTGACTGCACGCTCATGAACAAATCTCCAGAGTTTGACATGTTAAAAGAACTGGAAGAACCTGGAAAGGAAAGAGTGAGGTACCTGAATCATAGAAAGGAAGAGGAGCAACCACTTGCCTCTCAGCCAAGAAGAAAGAATGGCATGCAAAGCAACCCCAAACAGAAAACAATATGGTCAGGTTAGTAGCACAGAGAATAGTGCAAGCAAACATAATTTTTTTTAAAAAGAAAGAGAGTATAAGAGCTATAAAGTTTACATTAAAAAAAGACCTCTCTCTTTCTCTAATGGGTTTCAGCAGGAGATAGACTTTCAGATCTTGATGTGTGGGGTAGTTCCAGTTTGGGAGGGAATGATGAGTTTGTTATGAATAACATTCTAATAGCTTAACAAGCATTGATATTTTCTGCAATGATGTCTGGAAGACTGAATCGTATTATTCTAAAATAACTTGCATAAATGTAAATGTATAGCCAATGAGTACAGCATGCCATGCTTAGACGCTGCCATTTTCAGGACAGGTGCTGGTGACAGCCCATAATGAAGCTGTTATGGCCAGCCTGGCAGGGTAGTGAAATGTGGCATGAAAAACAGACTCAATATTTGCATTCTGCAATGTCCGTTCAGAGATCCCACACATCTACATCCAGAGAGGAGCATGTGTCATTTGTTGGGCGGAGGAGAAAATAGGGCATAAGACTCTGGTTATTCTCTCTTTACCCTTTCCAAATTATGTCAAGTCATACTTGAAACTAATTACATGCAGATATTATCTTGATCATCAGTTGAGGCTGAAAAGGCAATTCTAGGCACAAAACATTTTCAACTTTCCCCCATATCTCCTCTCCCAAATATGCCTTAAAAGTGGTAAACTAACTGAAGTGCATGAGACAGGCTGGAGGGGTTTATTTTTGAAACTCTCATGCAACTCAGTATGTTAATTATGAGAAAGCTCAACGTGCAAGGTTTAGTGCTAAACATGACATTAGGCTTGAAGGGAGAGACTTCAGGGCCCAGGTCAGCTCCACTGCATTACTGCAGTGCCAAGCTGTTCAGTGCTTCCCCTTGGAAGATACACAGTTGCTTGGCTCTTTGCTAAGTTGCTCAATGGCAATATGCAGGCAGATGCTCTGTGTAACATCTACATTGCTTTAGTTCTGCAAACCCCTTTGCTTAATCTCTAGTTCTCAAAGCAAAGTGAGAAGACACATTTGGAAAAGAGTACGCTAATTATTTCTCTGCTCTGGCTAGTCTGTGCAAAGTCCTTCTTTGCCTCTCAGAGAAGAAATTATAGAATACAACAATAGTCACTAAGGCCAAAAAGTTCTAAGTCTCCCATAGCTAAGAGACTCATGTTGCCTTCGCCAGGTTTTGGAATAGATCCTGAAACTATTACAAAATAATTCAGGAAACAGAAATTGGTTTGCAATGGATAATCCAAGAAATCTGCTGGCAATTACCTTGATTCATTTTCAATATCTCTCATTCCTGCATTGAAATTCTGTTTAGAAGGCAATGATATCAATGTTTTGCCTTATATGACATGGTATTCTGAGCATACAGAAGCTTTCCCAACTTTAATTAGTAATTAATTCTCACTGGAATGTCTTGGGAGTAAAAGTACAGCCCTCCCTCTCCAAACAGATGGCCTCAATAATTGATCTAGATTTTCAAGGTCATGCTGCACCCATCATGAAGAGATTCTAGGAACTCTATGTACCATCCTATCTTTCAACATCTGTTTATGTTGCTTGAGCAGAATAACTACTTTCTTCAGCCTGCCTTTTAAAATAAGGAAGGCACAAATTTTCATTTCAAATAACAAAAGTATACCATTTATAACACACACACACACACACACACACACACTGGCATAGGTAACACATCTATCAGGATGTTCCTCTGTGCAAATCCTGAACAAAAGATTAGGAACTGCAAAACACATTTATTTAACTGGCATTGTTTGCTGTGGTGTTTGTGCATGAACGTGTTTTTGTTTTTCATGAAATATTCTTCATAACATTTATGCACATCTCTAACTGGAAAATATGGTGTGTTGCTTCTGTCATAGATACAAAATAGGTAAACTTGACAATTATGTATATTGTACTAATGCACAGCAATAATTGTTGAGATTGCACTTTGTGCCCAACTGTGGTGCTGCCTCAGCATTTTTGGCAATAAAATAAAATTATAGAAGGGGGAAACACCAAGTGTAGTAATGGTTATACAGCAGAGGAAAAAAGTCTTGATACATTTTAGTGATTAAAATAAACATGACCACTCTTCCCCCCCCCCTGCTGAAAAAGAAAAAAAGAAAAAGAAAAAAGAAAAGAAAATTTAAGGAAAGAATGTAACTGAATATTGGATTTGGTGGACAAAAACAGTTTCTGGGGCAATCCATTTTTATTAATGCTGCATATCTTATAACCTGCAAAATAACTTTAATTCTGTGAACAGCATCATTCAATAGGTTGTTATCAGACAAGATGAGCAATCAATAAAGGAGAATATGTGTAGCTCAGCACTGAAATCAGGAGATCTTGATGCTCTCTGAATTTGGTTGTTTTCTTGCAGACATTTCATTATCCAAATTTCATTACCCAAGTTTGAGTAATGAAATGTCTGCAAGAAAACAATCTAACTCAGAGAGCACCAAGGACCCCTCAAGATGATCATTTTAAAAAAATTACATATGAAAATCTTCCAGAGATATTCTGATCATCTACACAAAAGCACCTTTTCCTACAGTCCAAATGTGATGTTTCTGCTGAACAGAGTCTAACAAATTTCTTCTGAAAAAATTCACTGTCCATTGTAATTATAAATTTTATCAAATTTGTCCACTAGCTTTCCCTTCACCATGTCAGACTTTTAACAGGATACTGAGAACTTGGAAGGGAGAAGCAACAGAGACAACACTAGACATTTTAGTGTTGAAGCCAAATCTCTTCCCATTGTTGGTAGCACAATAACAATAAACAATTGATAGAAGGTATCCTGTAACATAATCTGCTTCCTTAGTGGATCAGTTTGACTTTTAGCATACATTACTATGTCTAAGAATTTGATGCAAAATTTCCATCTGATCTATTATGCTACTCAATTTCTGGGTTAGATGGTATGTCCCCTTGGGAAGAATTAGAATCTTAGAATAGAATAGAGCTGAAAGGGACCTTGGAGGTCTTCTAGTCCAGCCCCCTGGTCAAGCAGGAGAACCTATACCATCTCAGACAAGTGACTGTCTAGCCTCTTCTTAAAAATCTCCAGTGACGGGAGCGTCCACGATTTCTGGGGGCAAACTATTCCATTGGTTAATTGTCCTCACTGTCAGGAAGTTTCTCCTTAATTCCAGGTGGCTTCTCTTTTTGATCAGTTTCCAACCATTGTTTCTTGTCCTACCCTCTGGTGCTTTGGTGAATAATGTGACCCCCTCTTCTTTGTGGCAGCCCCTCAAATACTGGAATACTGCTATCATGTCTCCTCTATTTCTTCTTTTCTTTTCTTTTTTGCTTTAAAATTTTATTAATTTCAAAATAACCCCCCCATACAAATATAAACATACATTGATACAACTTCAGTATTATTAATTTTAACATTCAAACGTAAACATACATTAGTATTACAAAGCAGCCCGGCAACACCCCCTCCCTGCGTCCACCCTCTTTTCTCCTCCAACTTCCCTACACATCCCCCCTCCTTCCCTCTCCTCTTCCTATGGACACGGTTTAGAGCGCTCACCCCCTCCCCGCATCCGCCCTCTTTTCTACTACCTACCTACTTCCCTCCTCTCTCTTCTGGAGAAGGAGAGGGAGGGAAACCTGTGCCAAATCCCCACAATTGGCTCGCGGAAGGTATAAAGAGGTATGTAGTTATGAGGATTAAATTATGAGTAAAGATGTAATTATGAGAATTAATAAAATAAAGAGATGGGAGGCTCTCACCCCCTCCCCCCCGGACTTCCCAGAACTGATTACAGGGTTAAACACACATCGTCCGAAATCTAAATATTACTACCCGAATATAAAGCAATCAAACATAAACATACTTTAACTCAAATAAAAACAATCAAATATAAGCATATACATTTAGACTCTAAACATATAATCTATCCATCTTCACTAAACCCAAATATCTAAAATTAATCAACAAAATAAAAACAACCAATCATCTTGCTGCTATTCATTTCTTAATTCAAATCTTCCATAATCCCCAATAAAAATAATTACAAAGTAAACTTTATCTATCACTTTAAAAAAAACTATAATAATACAAATTATTGCCCATATCTCCAATATGATTCTCAAATATTTTGAGCCCATTTAATCATACAATCTTTAATTTTATAAATTCTTTTATATGAACTCTATCACAATCTTTAATTCAAATACTCCTTTAAAATAATATAAATATCTTCAAATAATAAAATATTCTCTTTCTTTTTTTGTAGTAAGTTCTGATAACATATTCCCAAGTCAACAAACATTTCTCAAATATTTTAAATCCAATTGATAACCTCCAGTATTCAAATACTTTCAATAAATTTCTTACAGGCTTATCACCTCATTTTTATATTATTTCAAATTAAATACAGTCTTTAACTAATTTTTAAAAAATTATCCTTGTATAATCTACTTCAGTCTTTTAAAGTAAATAAAAACTCTATTTCAATCTTTCATAATGAATAATTCCTTAAAAGAAACCTCCAATATTCAAATACTTTCAATAAGTTTCTTACAAACTCATCACCTCATTTTTATATTGTTTTAGATAATAAAATATTCTCTTTCTTTCCAAATTCAAATCATTAATATTCCAAGTCAAAGGTTTTAAAAATAGTCCCTTCAATCTCACTCCTTTCGCCAGTTCCAAAGCAGATAGGTATATTGCAATTAAAATCCATTTTACTGCTCTCTCTTCTTTCATTTATATACCTTCTTTGTTCAAACGTTCCTTCCATTCTTTTAGATCGCATTGTTAACTGAAATCTCTGTTGATAAAGAGCTTGTGTATCTTCACTATAGCAGGATCTTCTAGAAAAACAAACAGCAACATCTCCAG